ATGCAAAGCAGAAATTCGTGAGTGCAAGAGAGATAGTCAGATATCACTATCCTTTCTACTCTCACGAAATTCTGCTTTGCACTGTGTTTTCTGCTCAACATGGGATTTATATCCAAAAAATTGTAAACTGACATTAAAAATGGAAAAAACAGGCAGTCCACTCATGGTTACAAACAGTGGTCCACTCATGGTGACATACAACTTTTCATGGCAGACACCACAATTTTTTTTAGCCAAAATTATCACTTAATTAAACTAAGAAAATCAATTTCAATGTTCAAAGTAGTAGGAAAAAAATAAGTAACCTTTTAAAACTTAAATTTTACACTACTTTTACACTTCCGAATCAGTTTACTTATTGTAAGAGCGACTTTTTTTGGTTTGTGATCTTAAAATTGCGTTACATGAAACGGTAACGTATATGCGGAACTTAATTTCTTACGGTTTCTAGGTGCGGTGCTGCAATTCGCACTATTTATTTTACGTTTCCACTGTCAGATAACTTAAAAACTCAGGCGGTCCACTCAAGGTGACATTACCCTATATTTATTAAAAGTATATAAAAATAGTCATTTTCAAAAACCCATAAGTTTTGTCCTAATAGAGATAGAGAACATTTATTTTTTTTAATTTTCTCACAATTTAACTAACTTTACTTTATCTTTTGACAGTTGTAACTTTAGATGCATAGAAATCTGTTTAAATCTCAAAAACTGAAAAATTATTTCCTATTTAAGAAATTATATGCAAAAAACATTATTTTAGAAGGTCGCAACTTTTAGACTGATAAAGATAAAGCACTTCATTCTTTTCAAATTAACAGAAAATTGTATACACTTTAATTTTAGTGTAGACAAATTTGAGTTTACATGTACTGGAAAATAGTAATATGCAAAAAGTAAATTATGAACAGTTTTTTCATGGTTTTTCCTGAATTTCTATGGTTATTAGTTGCCGCAAGAAATTTAACAGTAACATCCTCTTTTCTACTTTTCATTTAAAGAACTTAAGGTAATAAAATACTAACTATGATTTATTTTCTTAAAAATAAGTTAACTAATATTTAGAAAAAAAAGAAAAAATAAGTTTTCTCAAAAACGGCTCGAGCGATTTTGTTCTTTTTGGGCTCAAAATGATCACGAGACAACCCAGAAACAAATTCAAGAAAAAAACCGGAGGTGCAAGCATTTTTTTGGTTGAACTTAATTCAAACCCACCGTGTATAAGCAAGTAAATGTACAATATTGCGACTAATGGTAACTTTTACGAATGTCATAAATTGTTGCAGGAAATAATCTACAGTCAACTCTATGAATAGTGCTGCAAAATTGCACAGCGTTTACGACTTTTCTTGGAACTGTAGTACCCCCACTGTTTGTATATTTCTCTCTTAGGGGAAACTCGAAATTCAGAAGCCGTGCTGAGTCGCTAAAGTGGGGATAGAGCTCGAGCGAGAAAGAGGAGAAGTGGCACTATTGATAGCGGCACTATTCGTAGAGTTGACTGTAATAGTGTATTAGTGCCAGTCTAATAGACGTATTTGTAATGACTTTGATATCGAATAGTTTGTCTGAATCGTACATTATACCTCTCTTTCTTGATGGTGTTTACCAACAAGAATTAAATTGTTTATTCGAAGTCCTGTACAGCGATTAGACATCTACTTAGCATCTGAGATGTCGAATAGACCCTTCGTCTTTTTCGAATGTGTAGCTGAATTCTGCGCGGTAGACGTCTAATAGACAACAATTTCGACGTCTTGTGGCGTCCCATTTCGACATCTATATAGATCTCGATTAACATTCCACATAGATCGATGTTTTAGACGTCAATTATATCTTTCATTTCTTACTGGGTCACAGCATGGTATATCCCATTTCCATCCCGCGATATCCCTGGGGTATCCCAGGGAGATCCCATGGGATATCTCACGGGACATTAATTTGGATAGTGAGAAATAAAAGGTCTAACCGACGTCTAAGAAGTTGAGAGGAGATCTAATTCTAGATTTAGTCTAGAAATGTTAGATATAGGTGTCAAAGTTGTTTGACTTCAAAGATATTTGTATTTGTCATTTAGTGGCTTAGTGTAATTTTATAAACATTGTAAGCATATGAAATTTATTGTTTTCTAAATTTCTTCAAGTAAGCAAAACAAAAGAAATTGTTGGTTTAGTACTGATTATGGCATCTAATGGTAACTTTTACAAATGTCAAATTGTTGCAGGAAATAATCCAATAGTGTACTAGTGCCAGTCTAACAGACGTATTTGCAATTACTTAAATATCGAATAGATTGTCTAAATCCTCCATTGTATCTTTAATTGTTTGATGGCGCGCACCAACAAGAATTAAGTTGTCTATTCGAAGTCCTAGACAGCGATTAGACATCTACTTAACATCTAAGATATCGACTGATTTTCAATAAATAAATAAACCACTCGTCTTTTGCGAATGAGCAGACAAATTCTGCGCGGTAGACGTCTAATAGACAAAAATTTCTACGTATATATAGACGTCTTTTGTTTCGTCCCATTTCGACGTCTATAAAGATCTCAATTTAGATTCCACATAGATAGATGTTTTAGACGTCGAATAGACGTCGATTAGATCTTTCATTTCTGACTGAGCTGGGATGTCCATAGGATATGCAAATTTTTTTTTCGTGGGGTATTTTGTGTGGGATATTGGGGAAAGGTGTACGAGATGATCCCCCTAAGGGAAAAAACCTATTATTCAAAGAAAAATCAACATATTCGAGTTTTTTTTGTACGCACTACTAGATAATTAATCTATCTAACTATCCTGATTTGAAATATATGCAGCTAATTAATATTTTACTATTAAATTTAATTTTTCTAAAACCTTACAAAAGGATCATCTTGGACACCGGGGTGTACAAGATAATCCCCATGGTATGGACAAGGTGATCCGTAGGATTATCTTGCCCCAATTATTGGAAAAGGAGTCTAAATTGAAGGAATAACAGTGTAAAGATAATAGTGTGTAGATAAGTTAGTTTTCATAATAAAAACATATAAGAAGCGAGAAAAATTGAATTTTTTATTAATACTAGATCATTCAATTTGAGGTGAGGCGAAATACATGGTGATCAGGGGGGATCATCTTGTACACCCATTGAGGGATCATTTTGACCCAAATGCCACTATTTTATAATTTGTTCGTAACTTAACCTACGAGCTCTGTTATTCCATAATACCAATCTGAACACTTAATTGAAGATATACTGAAGCCGTGAGTACAAGAAACATGGAATTTCAGCTACTACAACAAAAGTTATCTAAGCCCAAAATTAAGCTTTCCTTAGATCAAAAGTATGAAATTTTTATTTTTTCCAATAGAATTTTTTTAATGACGCGTGTTGTCATGACAATTTGACTGATTCATAGGTATGTCATTGGCAACGTATTACCGTATTTGCCTAAAAGGTGATGCTAATAGGCTCTCCAAAATTCAAAAGGATCATCTTGCCCCAGGGGATCATCTCGTACATCTTTCCCCTATGTTGCAGCGCATTAGCAAGAAACGAAATGAGATCGTTCCAAGTGTCAAAGAGTGTTTGTCCAGCTTGAAATGTAGAATTTTGTTATTCACTTTTTTTGGTAGATGATATATTAAATTACCATAACAGTTATATTTTGCACGTGTATAACCTCAAATAATGTATTCTTGACATAGTGAAAAATATCCGTATCACTGTAAAAAGAGTGTCATTCTTTAACACATTTACGTGGTCATTTTTAAGACGATTATTGGAGTCTTATTAGCCTTCTAAAATGCGTACATTTAGAGGTTATATTTGTAATCTAAGACGCTCAAATAAGACACTTATTTACAAAAGACATTTGTAAACGTCCAAATGTCTTCTATTAAGGTCACTTATACTAAAAGTGAAACCGTTGGCATTTTGTAATTAATTGAAAGCAATTTCATCTAGGGATATCCTGCAATGAAATTCTGTGTATTTGTGTTCTATGTACCAACACAGAACCTTTACAGGAATTTTTTAACCCGGCGAGTATGTGGTTGGGCATGTCTTGCTCCACACTTACTAAAACCTTATTAAATCCAAAAATTTCCACTGTATCGTTTTTGTCTTTCGAGTAGCTAGAGTTATGGGTTCATAAGAGAAGATGTTGGTGTGGTGATAGTGTTGTGCAAATTATGTTTTAAATTACTTGGACGTAAACGTCAGTTTGATATATCATTCGGCCTATATGTGTTCAACATGCGAGATTGTTTTACCTTTGCATGAAAGAAAATTGAATTGTAATATATTTTAAAAAGCAGTATTATACTTATCTTATTCTATAACGTTTAAAGTCCTAACTTTATAAAAGTAAAAAATTTTTTTTATAAAAGTTTAAATGTTTCATTGTTTTATTTAATCATATGATAAATCTTAAGATAAAGAATTGTCTTTGTCATCATAAATAAATAATTAATAAATAATTAAGGAAATACATTTTATTACATGCTTTTTTATAATATAATACCAGAAATTAACTTAATATAACCATAAGTAACATTTACAGGCAATTTTACAGTCAGGGCATACCATGCCTACCTCATGGTCGGTGTAACAGTTTCGCGCCACATGCTCACCGGGTAAAACATCTTTTTTAAAGGTACTTAAAATAGATTTTTACATATGATTTTTCAAAGCAGCTTTTAATAGGTTGGCATGGAAGATTTTTAAGAGTCAGAAAATGTATTGCTACAATGTTGTAACATGATGTTCCAAATAGTGTACGGTAAAATTACTGTAGTACGTGTTATCTGTTTGCAATTTTCTAAAAAATACTTTTGAGTAATAAATTAACGGTTTAAACATATTTTTAGTTAATGAAAATAAATTATGTTCATGTTGTTTAATTATAATAATAGTAGGTTTATGAACAGGTATTTGCATAACAAAAAATTTATTGACAAACGGGTTAACTAATAATAGGTTTATTTAATTTTTATGGCATTTGATACCTTTAATTCATCTATCAATTGCTCTTTAGGATCCTTATTTGGATCAGGTTCATAGTCTTCTATATGAGAGCCTACAAGTATAAAAAATATTATTTAAAAATTTTTTTATATAATTAAAATTTCTTTGTGATAAAGATAAACTACATCAAAATAAATGAAAGCATCCACTTGAAAAACTGTTATCTCCAATATAAATTTTATCTTTGTTCTATGATGAATAAAAATAATATTTCTCCATGAATATATTCAAAAATATTATTTGCTCTAAAAATAATAGGTGGTTGAATTTTTTAGATTGATAATTTTTCTTATTGTAAATATAGAAATAAAAGGTGCACTAATATAATTAAGGAAATACTTCAGTTATACATGTAAACATTGCTCTTTGGTCTTTCTAGGGATACAACAAAACTCTTATGTAAAAAGATTCAAAAAATTGTTTTAAAATGTCTCTAAAGCTTTTGAATCTAAGGTACGCTCTGAACATACATCTTAAGAAAAATCTTATTAAAATTTTTAATTTCGTTTTTTCAGAAATTAAATTTTTGATATTCTGTACTTTAAAATTCTGTAACTCAGCGATTTTTGCACCAAACTGGACTTAAGACTTTTAAAAAATTTTCAAACTTGACTAGGAATTTCACAATAGATATAGATAAGATAGGTATAGATAAGTTAAAAAGTGCCAAAGCATTTGGTCTAGTGAAATTGGAATATTTAAAAAAATTAGGATTAATTATAAGTCAGTGACATTAGGAATAGAGAAGAGTGGACTTCATTGAACCAGTGTTTTCAGTGAACCACTTCAATTTTTTGAAAAACGACTGAATGAAATTCTTTCTTATTCTGTATATAAGTTAATTTTACGCAAACTGACAATATTAAAAAATTTCCGGCACGTAGATGTATTATTTAAAAAGAAAAAGTAAAAAAAAACTTATTCACGTACAAAAGAAAAAATTTGGTGGAAATATAATGTTTTTTATTGAAATAGAAAGATTTAAAAATTAGTAAACTTGTGATTTATTTCACTTAGGGTGTCAACTTCATTATTCCGATATGATAATGAATTTTAAGGCTTACATAAATTTATTATAAACAATTTTTGCTGTGAATGTCATGTGGATACATGAGGCCAGGCAACATTGAACCACACGAAATAGCAAAGAATTTTCAATTTTAAGAGAAATAAAGTTGTCTGCTCTACTAACCAGTAATAAAAATGCTGGAAGATATGCTTTCATCACAATTCTCAACGTGATAAACTTAAATTGTCACTTCTGCTACACAACCTGACTTTGAAAAATATTAATCTAATATATTATCAACTAATAATTGTTTAACAATAATTTCCTATTTTATTGTTTGGAAAACTAGTTTATTTACACATTGCAAGTAGAAATATTACACAGGCACACAACAAAAATAAAATTGCGAGTGCGAAGAGTGCCAAATGGTAGGTTCTCTTCCTTAGGATATTTCTAAAGAAAAAAACGTTGTTTCTATTGATTTGAATTCAGTGACTCTACGTACATAAAAATTGAATACATAAAAGAAGTTGATAATGGCTGATCCAAAGTCGCTGATTACGAATTTGAAGTCAGTTTTTAAAAATTTAAAATGCCGAATTTTTAATTTCTCAGATTCACTCGAAAATCGTTACTCTAGGGTTTTCAGGATCCCTGAAAACGAATATCCTTAGGACTTCTATGTCCGTTCGAAAGACATCCAAAAGAAATCCTATGTCCTAAGGATGTTTTTAGGATGTATATCCTTTGCACGTCTTTTGAAAGGACATAGCCCTAAAGACATCCCATGTCCCAGTGCCCACTGGGTTGTTACTTAGGTGTTTCCTCAAATCGCTAACTGTAAATCTGAATTTTTCCTAGTTCTGAAATGCACTGAAAAAAATGAACTCAAAATGAGTCACAAAAGTGACTCATTTTGAGTTAAAAAACAATGAGTCTTCTCCATCTTAAACTTCTTCAGAGTATCCGCTGAAGATATAAAATAAAATTCGCGTACATTTTCCGCATTTTTTACAAAAATTCCCGTACATTAAATATAAGGGTTTGTGCAGCATTGTATAATAGGTAATATTAAGAAAAAGTAATAGAATTTTTAATGTTAATTTTTTATTACTTAACCCATTAACGCCCAACTCGTGAAAATTCTTTGGTCATTTTCAAGCTACGTAATTATAAATAAAACGGTTGCCAATTTATACCAGAGGTACATTTTCTAAAGGTTTTGGATGTGCTCTTTACGATTCCGGTGTCAAAAATAAATTTCGTCCAAACCAAAATTAAATATGGCGGTTTTAATGTTAAAAACACAAAAAAAATTCATTTTTTCAAGTTTAAAATTTTTGCACCTCGCAAAAGTGTAAAAATAAAATTCTATTTTCAACCATCGGTGCATAAAAATTATACACTTTCGAGAAAAGTGAAGTAGAATTGAAAATTTCAAGATGGCGGACCAATATGGCGTCAAATCTAAAGTAAAATTAAAAAATTTTGGGCAATATTCTTCATATTGCCGAAAAGTTAATGAATTCGTCTGAATTTTGTTCCTTGGGGGTTTTCGGTGTCGCTGATTACGAATATAAAATTCATTTTCAAAAATTAAAAATGGCGGATTCAATATGGCGGACTTATTTATTAAATTGATCAAATTCACTTGAAACTTGTTACTCGAGTGTTTTTGGGGTCGATGATTACAAACCCCCGAGTTACAAGATTGAAGCCAATATAATGACATTTGAAGTTTCTTATCCGCCATATTGAATCCGCCATTTTGAATTTTTAAAAATAAATTTCATTTTTGTAATCAGCGACCCCGAAAACCCCTGAGTGACAAGTTTCAAGTGAATTCGATGAATTTTTGTAAAACTGGTCCGCCATATTGGATCCGCCATTTTGAATTTTTGAAAAGGGTCAGAATTCGTGAAATTTCCACAGAAAATAAAAAGTATTTTTTTATATCGAAATGTTGAAAAAAAATTTTTATTTGGCCTTAAGAATGTGTCCACCAAAAAACAGAAAAAAAATATTTTTTATAAAAGTTATTGCAACATTAATTTTTTTGCAACTTTTTAAACAAAATTTTATTTCTCCTAAATGAATGAACCAATTTAAATGGAACAAGCGGGAATATAAAGGGGATAAAATATACTTTCGTTTAGAATTAGAAAGTTTTTAAAAAGTTTATTTTTTAATAATTATTTAATAAATTTTTTATAAACAATTAGTTTTTTTTAATGTTCTGCTCCTTTTAAAAATTTGAAAAAAATATCAACATACACTTAAAACTATAAGAAATCAAAATCCGTTGAGAAAATTTTGGAGCGACAATTATTTTAAAAGTTATAATGGAAATTATATTGAACGGAGATGCGATTTTGATGATTTTTAGAATAAAAACATTATTTTTAACTACGAAATGAACAAAACACTGTCAAATTAACATTTTTATTTAATTATATAACCATAAAAATTGATAAAAATGATCAAAAACTAATTTCAGCGTTGATGCACTACACCGCGCCAATATAATTTCTATTATAACTTTTAAAATGATTGTCGCTCCAAAATTTTCTCAACGGATTTTGATTTCTTATAGTTTTAAGTGTATGTTAATATTTTTTTCAAATTTTAAATTTTTAAAATGCGTAGAACATTAAAAAAATTAATTATTTATAAAAAATTTATTAAATAATTATTAAAAAATGAACTTTTTAAAAATTTTCTAATTCTGAACGAAAGTATATTTTATCCCCTTTATATTCCCGCTTGGTTCATTTAAATTGGTTTATTCATTTAGGAGAAATCAAATTTTGTTTAAAAAGTTGCAAAAAAATTAATTTTGCAATAACTTTTATAAAAAAAAAATTTGTTTTCTGTTTTTTGGTGGACACATTCTTAAGGCCAAATAGAAAAGTGAATTAGATGAATTTTTATAAAACTCGTCTGCCATATTGAATCCGACATTTTGAATTTTTGAAAATGAAGTTGATATTCGTAATCAGCGACCCCAAAAACCACCGAGTAACAAGTTTCAAGTGAATTTGATCAATTTAAAAAATAAGTCCGCCATATTGAATTCGCCATTTTGAATTTTTAAAAATGAATTTCATATTCGTAATCAGCAACCCCAAAAACCCCCGAGGGACAAGTTTCAAGTGAATTCGATGAATTTTTGTAAAACTCGTCCGCCATATTGGATCCGCCATTTTGAATTTTTTAAAATAAAGTTCATATTCGTAATCAGCGACACCAAAAACCCCTGAGTGACAAGTTTCAGGCGAATTCATTGACTTTTCGGCAATATGAAGAATATTGCCCAAAATTTTTAAATTTTACTTTAGATTTGACGCCATATTGGTCCGTCATCTTGAAATCTTAAATTCTACTTTACTTTTCTCGAAAGTGTATAATTTTTATGCACCGATGGTTAAAAATAGAATTTTATTCTTACACTTTTTCGAGGCGAAAAAAATGTCAAACTTAAAAAAATGATTTTTTTGTGTTTTTTGACATTAAAACCGCCATATTTAATTTTGGTTTGGACGGAATATATTTTTGACACCGTAATCGAAAAGAGCACATCCAAAACCTTTAGAAAATGTACCTCTGGTATAAATTGTCAACCGTTTTATTTATAATTACGTAGCTTCAAAATGACCAAAGAATTTTCACGAGTTGGGCGTTAATGGGTTAAGTAACATTGAATCAGTAATAATATATTTATATTATATTTTTCAAATTGAAGCAATGAAATATAAAATTATTTAAAATAAATATCAAACAAAATAATTAACTTTTTAAATCATATCTCGTAAATAAAAAGAGATATAAAATGCACAAATCGGTCGCAACACGGCTTCACATTTTTAATGATAAATCGATGAAGGATTAAAATTTGTTAATTTTCGAAGACTCATTTTAAAGCTGATGACTTAAGACTATTTTCAGAAAAAAATCCCGTTGAACAAAATAATTCCCGTACATTTATCCCACATTTCCCGTTTAAAATCTACGGCGCTATCTACGAGGTTCATTTTTGATGCAGC